GAAGGTATCATCTGTGGCTCACCGTGACGAAGCCTACATATTCATAGCCGTCTGGATTTGGAATGAATTAAAGTGGCTCAATGCCTGAAGAACAGCGTTTGCATTCTGAACTAATTTATTTGGGCTATAATTTTGGGACGATCGACTCATCCATATTAATAACACATCACTGAAGGAGAAGAACTTTCCCAGGCCTGAAAGTGAGCACCTCAATTTTGCTTGCATGGGAGTTTGACAGTGAGCTTTTAATGAGTTATCCTCTGCCTCCATCGAGTCCTATCACTCGATCGGTGTAAAGAAATAAGCATTGGAATTTCAAAGCCTGATCCATTATATTAGCAGGTTTACATCAAAAATAACGTAAATCACTTCAGAGGAAAAATGCATTGAGGTGTCATTCGGTAGGCAAACATCCTTTGCTGTTGCTTTCAATGGGTTCTTGTGTTCATATGGTATGCGTTGGTTGCAAATGGGTTGTACATCTAACAATATTGGCACCTTTAAAAAAAGTATCTTACCCATTTTCTGCTATGTTTTCGCAAAGATTAAAAGGAGTAAAACCACTATTCATTTAATATTTTGTGCAATGCCAAACGCAGTAATTGTGGGGAAAAGCAGTGGTGGATAAAGAAAAAACAACTGTCCTTTGTCCTCGGCCAAATTAGGTTGAGCATAGTGGCTATTGACCAACGAACGCCGATTAATATCCACTTCACAGTGGACGTGGTCAAGTGGCCTCTCGAGATGACCTTATCGTCCATTAAGTATGGTTGGTTTCCCCGACCCACTGTCATTCATAATCACCGCGTCCGAATGCGCATGAAATTGGGCGGAACAGTTGGTAGAGGAATTTCCCCCACTTACAACTGGCCGCCAACCTCACCCGAGACCTCGCTCTCCTACCGTTGGAATCTCGTCACCAATCTGGATAAGTATCTCCGACCAGAATGCAGTCCCCACTGTGGTGTTGGCATCATATTGATGGATATTCAACGCCAAGGTATATCTCTGCCCTTAGCTGCACCTTTTCTATGCAAATATTGTCCACATTTATATGCTTGTGTTTTACACCATCTTAAAAAATGCCTGATTGACCGCCTGTACGCCTTTTTCAAACAAGTTAGGTGATCGCTTGTTTTCATTTTTCCATCAGTGCCACAAATTTCTTTGCGTCAACTTGTGATCTTATCCTCGAGACGTTAAAATCAACTCAGATCACAATTCAACTATTGGTGCTACGCATTAATTGACCTTTTTTCGTCTTTTAATTAGATCAATCGGTTATCCAGGTGGAATGGGCTCTGTTGCCACTATTGCAAGAGGGGTTACGTGACGTGACTAGAAACCTATCCCATCCTAATCTGGCCCCTGTAGCAAACAGATGCCCACAACGATCCATACAGGATCTCCAGCGAAAGCTCCTCAAGGCTCCTTTGTACCACCGCTACTCTTCTCCCTCAGCGTCAGTCTCATCACCACACCAGGAGTACTTTTCTGAGAACGAGCTCAGGCAGGCCTCGTGGTCTTCGCCGGCTCCGCAGCTTGTTGAGCACCTTGATTGGGCGAGACTTGGCACGACAGCTGTGGTGGCTGTGGACCTCATTGGAAGTTGCTTCTCTCCCTACTGGAAGGGCGAAAGTGGCATTAGATCCTCCACAATCCTCCCCACTGTAAACATTACCACATACATCGGTGAGTCCGGCTAATTTCATCTTGGTCTTCATCTATGAATGCCCAATGTGCAAAACACATAAACAATTTATCACGTCAACTGCCTTCAGGTAGAACTACCGCTACTCACATTTATCACTTGTTATACGTTACCAACCCCTCTCTTAGCTCACAATAGAGATTGCAGAAAATAAATGCTGATAAGTTTATTAACTACCTTGGCTATTCTTAGCCACATTCAAGCAGGTAGAAGTTTATCAAACAATAAGATTTCTTATTTTGCAAGCCGCTAGGATTAACATTCGAGGACGTGCAAAACGACATTCCTCAGTTAGGTAGAAAGCTAAAAAAATCGTTGGTGGCTTCAGCATCTCGTTACCCTTTAACGGCACATAGCTGTCTTTTCTGTCAGATCGGAACTCCACTTAGTTGTCTTTGAAGGGGAAAATTCTGTCTGAGTGTTGCCTTGAGGCAAAATGGGGAAGCCAAATGCATTAACATGCCTAAAATGGGTTGTGTTTTAGCGTTAGGTTCTTACATTTCTCTCCACTAAAAACGAGAATCTCTCAGGATTTCTGTTTGCAAAATTCAGTAAATAAAATACATCAATGTTTTATGATATGGAGTCAGTTCTAAGAACTGGCGCTTGTAAGTTCCTCCGAGCCATAGGATCAAGGATAAAGAGGATGGTTGCGTATGTTTGTTCAACAACGCAACATCATCCCTAAAGTGGAAGTAAAATTCTTCTAACCTCATTTGTGGCATTCCGAAAAATTGTTTCTCCATTGTATTGAATGAACCACATATTGATGATGGAGTGATATGCTCCGGAATTGTGGCCACTTGAACCTTAACAAAGAGGACTTATTTACAATGATTTCACTCTCTCCGGTTAACAAAAGATTCCATTTAAGTAGAATCGTTCGGCCCTTCCCTGTGTATAATTGACGCTGTCCAAATAAACATTTGTAGAAAGTAAATAATCGGAGGGTAACAAAAGAGCAGTTTTATCTCCAACAAAAGAAATACCTGTGTGTTTTGGAGTTTCTAGGTTTCGTCTTCTTTGTTGAAAAGGAAAAAATTGTAAGAACCACTTACACTTACGACTTCATCTACCTTTAAACGTCCAAAGCTCTCTCCGTGATTAGTTAATGACGATAGACAGTTTGTTCCACTCGCCTTATCGTTTCCGATCAGTCGCTACGGCGATTATCAAAAGAGGAAGCGATGCTCATCTCGTTTGTGGGCACTTTAATTCGCCCCATGCCATGTACTGAAGCGCCTTATCCTTACACAATTGAACTTTTCTAACGAGCAGACTTTAGTTAGCCATGCTCTAACAGTTAAAAAAATGTGCTGAAAGTGGTTTGTCAAAGTTGCGCATTTGAAATCTGTTGGGTAGGTAGCAATGGGGTTGAAGATTCCACCAGAATTAAGAAATGGGATAATAGAGCTGACATTCGATTGCTTTTCCATGCCAAAGCATTAAGACAAGGATAGAGAGGACGTCCACGGCATTCCAGCCTTGCTGTTGAAGAATAGCTCCGTTCTTTGTTTCATTGACGCACCTTTTGGTGGATGATGCTGACCAGTGACATTAGGTTTTTTGTAAGTGAAAAATCGTTCACTGAACCTGTTGAAACGATTTTCTTACTTAATATAAGTTTAAAATTGGAGTCAATTTTTTGACGTCAT